GACTCATTTTGACGTTTTACTAAAAAACTTAAAATGAAGGTGGAAATAATATTTGTTAGAAATATATATATTGATGCAACTGGAAAGATGGCTTGTTGCGATTGTTTTACATATGGTTCATATGCCTTTCATTGGGTCAAAAGATACTTGTAATCACAAAGCTTCAAGTATTATCAGAGTAACATATTCTTTGGACAATGTGAAATTCTAAAGAGCGAATAAATTATAAACAGGTCTGCATTAGGCATGTTACACGTAAAGCAGAAGGTTGCTTTAAGGTTTGATACACGATATCGGCTTGTTCCTTTGGTGCTAGATTTTAGTGTAAAGATCTTTTTCTCAAAGGAAAGTTCTCGTTTTGATTTAGAAATTATTTAGTCAGTATCGCTTTCAGAGTATTCTGAATCGTAGTCCGAGTCATCACACTGGTCTGTTAGCTTCAAAGCAGCTGCTGCAGCTTCAACTTCATCTTGAAGTGCCATCTCATTTGGGCTAGCTTCATCTTGATCAGCTTCAACAGTTTCAACCTGCACTCCCACATCTGCCAGCTTTTCTGACACAGAACCATGGTGATCTGTTGATGCTCCTTTCTTAGGCAAGGTTCGCCTCTTTTTCTGCTTCAACCAAAACTGTACAGAGTCACGTACAAGTTCCTTGCACTGATCTGAGGGCAGTGGTGGCCCATTGATTGAAACCTGCATAAGTGCCTGCAGCATGTCATTTTGAAGCCTTGATCGAAGCCCATTCTAAATGGGAATTCAAAGGCAATACTCAGCAAGGGTAGGGCTGTTTCAGCATATAATGAAGTGTCCATGTTGTGGTAATCACAATTGGACCTGATAGTTTAGACCTGATAAACATCATCTCCTCGACATATCTTGACTCTTCAAGCAATGAAAGTAGCCGGCGAAACCTGACAGAGAAGCCGGCGAAGTTTGCTGGCTGCTGGCTCTTATATACAACCCTGGGTGTTACCTAATAGTAATCTGCAGTGCTTCCTGAAATATTTCTTTCTCACCAAGAAGCAAAGAAAAGCCAAGAATAAAGCGATTCTTGGATTCTTGACAACAATTATCCATCTCTAGGAATAGGTGCTGTGGTAAGATGATAATAAAATTTACAGTAGAATCATTTCACATATAGCAATGAATAGATACGTGTACCACTTAACTTGCAAAGCAAGTTACAGACAGGCATAGAAAAAGCCGCTTCAGGACAAGTAGATTATTATCCCGTGCAGGTAACTTTTAAAGCAATGGGTAAGGGTTCAGGCCAGTCAAAAAAGGATGAACTACAGCTTACTGAAAGACAAATAAGAAGTAGCCCCCCAGCAAAATTTGAGAAGCTGCTTGCCCATAAGAACAAGCTGGAATGCAATGTTTTCGAGCCCAGACATGTAGACCTTTTGAAAAACTGAGCATATGCATGAAAAAGCAAGTAACGATGGCTCATTACATTCCTTTGAGACAATTCTGGCACTTACATTTAAACTTGCAATATGAGCAACAACAGTGATCTACAGTATTTGAGTCAACATCTGCATCGAGACACTTCAAAAGGAATTTCCGCAAGCATTCTCTTTCCAGATGGCAATTTTACCTGATATTATCACTCATTCCAGGTTTGTTCTTCGCAATGTCTGCATTGTTATAATAAAGTGTAGCACTGGTGGGGTTCCCAGTTTGGGGTGCTCTTCCTGTCTCTTGAAAATATTCACAACTGGACTGTGGTGGTCATACATGAACGATACGTCGTATTCTAGAAATGTCAACTCCAATCCCCATTGTAACTGTGGCAAATATGTCCCTCACTTTAGAGATGGGTAAGGTTATTACAGTTAAAATTTGATCCTCAGTTGCCTTTGGCTGTGGAGCATGAAATTGAGCAAACAGGCTGTTTTCTGCGAGTGCTTCTGCAGTAGAAGGGTAGTATGGTTAATGCCCAAATTATTCTCGGAATACTTGAGTGAAAAAACCGCACCATGTCAAAGACAGATATAACAAAGTTAGTGGATATGTCACTGTTTTCTCTTGTGTTACATTGGGCTTGAGAGTTTCTACCGTGAAATCTACATCTTCTCTTTGGTGGAAGACTTTTTCCATAAAATATGTTGCTCCTATTTGGATTCACTGTAACTTCAAGAGGAGATTTTAAATTTGAAGATTCTTTGATTTCAGAGACATCTTTCTTGCTGGCTGTAGCTGTTAGCAGCACCAATGTGACAGAAGGAAATGTGGCACATAACATTGCAAGCCTGGAGTGATCTTTCCTGAAATCATTCCCCTTATGAAGGAAAAATAAAAAATGCATAAGGTTTTACATTATTTTTTAACCTTATTTGGTAAGATTTCCATATGATCCTGTACATTTACTATGCAAATATGTTTGCACGTTATTCACATTAAACTATTTGTGAAGAAAAAAATGAAATTGCTGAATGCTTAATAAATGTTTGGGGTCATACTGAAATCCGACCATTTTTCTTCATAATTAACCCGAACAATAAACTGAGTTGTACCTTAAGAACATTAAGAACATCAATACACAATCATGGAAACGTATTTTTTTTCAGGTCACATCTCACAGGTCAAATGCACATCACCATGTAGCAGATAAATAAACAGGCCCTAGAGTAGCTCTCAGTCCTGATCTCCATCTGAAAGGTTGTTTTTGTTTTGAGAGGAAACTATTTGGTTCTGGTAAGATTTTTTTAAAGGTTAAACATACAGGACTGAATGGAGAAAACCACTCCTTTTTGAATAAGCTTTATAAGCTGACTACAGTTTTATATAAGCCTACTATTATTATTTGAAACATCCTTACCTCTCTAAGATACAATGCGCTTCATTAACCACTATTGCTTTCACTGCATGCTAGAAGGTTTCCACTCTAAAGGAGGCTCATTCCTTCCTTGCAAGATAAAAATACTTCAGGGTGAATAAACACAAGGTCATAGCTAGCATCTCTCAATCAACTGATATTGGTGTTGCTGATATCCAGTTCCAAATCTGTCAAATTTCTTCCCCTCATCACACTAAGTGCTGCAGCTTTTGAGGATCCTTCTGAACTTCTTCTGGTTTGATCTTTGATCAGAGCATTCAACAGTGAAACCACAATGAGAGCAGCGCAAACTTGTAATGGTAGCGATTGTCCATCCATCTTGTCGTGGAGTAGCGCTGGAACAATATGAAAAATCACTGTGGCTAACAGAGCCAGTACACATCTTGGCCACCATAACTTGATTGTAGGCACTGAACCTTTTTTGCTTTAAGATTGACATTAGAGTAACTGCTACTGAAGCTCGCAAAGTGAAGGCTACTGAAAAGATAATGGACGTTATGGTGGTTGAAATGCTTGTTACTCTTTTCCAAATAGCCTCTCTTTGAAGTTGACAAAAATGTTACCAACAAAATTCTGAAATCAAAGGACCCCTCCCTTATGATATCTATTGTCCAGCGGACCTGTGACCAGACCACACCAGGGTCTCTCTCTCTCTTTCTCGCCATGGGGGCTGAGTGGGAGAGGACCCTGGGAAGGAGATTGATTTGTAACAGTATTTAAATGGAATTGCACATTTATTCGTCTTGTTTCTCACCCATCATCCATCAAACTGTTGTTACCTCAACTGTAATTTGGAGTCATAACGAGTTACTGTAAGATTTCCAACTTCTTCTCCATAACCAGTTGCTGCGGTTTTAACAAATCTCTTGGTCGTTTTCTCCAGCAAAAGCCTTCTTCCGCAGCATAATCTTGTGCTGCAGAACCGCTTCAAAATACTAATACAACGTTTTGTCTCATTTTTTTAATGGTTCATGTATTTGTTGAATGAGACCTTCACCTGCTGTTTCGCTTTCCATCTTTCTCAGGCGTACATGTTGATGTATTATCAAATAGACCAACTCATGAATAATTCTCACAACACATGAAACAGCTTCATTCATGAAAGAACTGGGTGTGGCACCCTCACACCAACATACACGCTATAATCTTTTTTGAGGACACCACTGCAAAGGGGAGGAATTTTTAAACAAGCCAGCATCATGCACTTTTCCAGGCCAGCTAGTGCAAATATCTCAATAAAAAAGTTCACATTCACTAATCCCTGCAGAATAATCGAATGAAATCCCTTTCAATTAACATAGTCCTCTTGGTTGTTTTGTGGGCTGTAATTGGTATATGGCATCCAGCAACACAAGCTACAACCTGAGGAAGGCCTGCACGGTTGTCCCTCATCAATCATTTCCTGAATTTCTTGTGCTGATTGTGGAAGGTATATGTACCTCAGAAGAAGGACTTGCAAAATGACATTGCATACCTGCACATTGATTTCCCAGATGGTGGACTTCCCAATTCCAAAAAGGTTTGCAGTCGTATAGTAAGTTGCAGTATTGACAAGCTGATACAAAACTACTGCACATGGTGAAAGTTTGTGTCCCTCTTTGAAATGATAGGAGATAGCTCGATGGTTAAATATTCAAAGGCCACTTGTGCTATTCGAAAGTTTTCTTCCCAGTCTTTATCTTTTTGTCCCTGACAAGCCTCCTCCCAAAACTTTGTGGCCCTGGGTTTTGCCCATATTTTTCGTACAGGAACTAGAGGAAAAATGTTGTGAGTAAGCAAAAAGCTAATTGCTGCATTAGGATGTGTTGGTGCCTAACATATGCCTGAAATCGCTTTCTTGCAGGGCTTGTCTGTTAATAAATAAGTTTACTTTCTTGAGTTTTTCTTTTTTGAGCCAAAAATATAGCCATAGCAGGACCGTTTATCTTGACATCATGAAATTTAGATAAACATGTTAAGTTTGTGTGAATGGGGTATAAGTCTAACCATTTTATAGTACTTTTACACATTTGATTTTTTTCTGTTAAGAAAATGATCTCCTATGTGCATTACCAGGTGTCCCAGGGCTCAAAGCATAATCCACTCAACCCTATAAATTAAAGGGTCAGGATATCAGTCTGGCTACTTATACGAGATATTGTGCTATAAGGAACTACATGTATTTGGGCTTCAGTCATACAGCTTTTGCAAAGAGTGTCATAGTTGCATGTATCATTTTAAGCTACTTTGATTGCATACAATTCAAAGGCATGCTCTTCTGGATCTTCCTCTGCATTGCTTTCACTTTCAGTACTTTCCTCCATTGCTGCATACGTGATTTTTAGCAAATTCTGGTATTTCAAGGTCACTTTCAGGCTTAGCTAGAATACAGGTTTGTTCTCCCTGTGCTGGGCTGTCAGGTTCTGACTATGACACTTCTTCCTACTCTGATTCATCCTCACTTTTAACTGCTCGCTGCAACGACACATGAATTGAAATGGCATTTTTAACTATACAGTGATATAATTATTTAGTAATATGGTTGGACCACCGACTCACAGAACAGTACAGTCGAACCTCGATTATCTTGACCTTGGTTATCTGGACTTGTTTCCTTGGTCCCGTTTTTTTTTTATGAATATTAATAAGATGTGGTCTCACAAAGAGGAAATACTTTGGAATAACAGCTTTGTTAAGATTGGCGGAAAGATGGTGTTTTTTAAAGCATGGGTTAGTAAAGGCATTTTAAGAATCAAAGATATCCTCAATGCTCACAATAATTTCCTATCTTTCCAAGACCTTAAAGATGCTTTTGACGTTTGTGGTACCTTTCTTGATTACGGTGGTCTTCTGGCCGTGATTCCTAAAGATTGGAAAAATGCTATCTTACATGGCAATCAGGAACACACCGACAAACCAACGGTGATACAACTAACCATTGGAAATGTTTCAGCAAAATTTGCTCAACTAATGTCGAGGCCCTGCCAGGGTAAATTCCAACAAGTGACATGGCCGAAAAAGTAGTGACAGACCGTAAAATGAAATTGCGACAAGAGACAACCTCCCGTGGCCAAATTGCGACAGTGACGGCAAAGCTGACAATAAGCAACAAGCATTTATAAACACCAACACAAGACATTTTAAAATTCAGACGGGTGACATGGGACCCCCCCTGGCAGGGCCTCAATGTTTGCTGAGAAATCTTTCTGTCCTCCATTAATTGAATCCCATTTAAGAGAAAAAACATTCACTCCCAGTGCCGTATATGAGCTTCCATTCAAAATCACCATTGAAAATAAGCTAAGAAGTTTTCAGTTCAAACTCATCCACAATATTCTTCCAACGAACCAACGCCTTCGGAAAATGAATGATACATCTTCTTCAAAATGCACACAATGTGATGCTCCTTGTGAAACTATTAGCCATATATTTTACGAGTGTCTTGCCATCAATTTTTTTGGGACAAAGTCATAGATTGGTGGAATCGTAAATGTTCTGAAAACAAATCCCAATCCAACGGAAGTTCTTTATGGATACAAACCTGAATCTAACAGCTTTCATACTTTTAACCATTATCTCTTAATTGCTAGATATTACGATTACTTAGCTAGAAACAAGTTTGAGACCCCAGAACTGGAGGTTTCATTGTTCTCCTGGAAATTAAAATCCACTGTGAAAGAGAAATGGCAATAACANAAACTCATCCACAATATTCTTCCAACGAACCAACGCCTTCGGAAAATGAATGATACATCTTCTTCAAAATGCACACAATGTGATGCTCCTTGTGAAACTATTAGCCATATATTTTACGAGTGTCTTGCCATCAATTTTTTTGGGACAAAGTCATAGATTGGTGGAATCGTAAATGTTCTGAAAACAAATCCCAATCCAACGGAAGTTCTTTATGGATACAAACCTGAATCTAACAGCTTTCATACTTTTAACCATTATCTCTTAATTGCTAGATATTACGATTACTTAGCTAGAAACAAGTTTGAGACCCCAGAACTGGAGGTTTCATTGTTCTCCTGGAAATTAAAATCCACTGTGAAAGAGAAATGCCAATAACAAATGGAAATCTTAACACATACAGAAATAAGGGGACCACCCTGTGCATTTCTGAAGTAATTTAGCAAACGTGCACTATTATTATTTTTCTATTTGTTCTGCTAGTTGTTTATCTGTTGAACTTTCGTATTTCGCTTTTTGTTGCTTGCTTGTTTGTTTGTTTTTTTTTAATGTTTTCCCTCCTTTTTTTTGCTGTCCTGTTGTTGTGAAGTTAATTGTAATGTTATGTTGAATGATGTTTAATAAATAAATTATATAAAAAAATCAGTTGTAATCTTGAAAACTTAAAGGATTAAAAGTTCATTGATCCTTCCAAACGTGTGTTTAAAACACTGTTGTTCAAGTCAAGTCAAGTCAAGTTTATTGTGGAAATTACCTTAGATATTTGTGAAAAATACACCGGCTACTTTGGAGATATTTCACACGTAAAAATAAAATTAATAGATAAATGTTGTTTTTCTGTTTCGCTTCGAAAAATTGCGAGCAGCACGAGATGAACAATGACTCTGATACATTCAGCTGTATTCTGATTGGCTGAATTTTTATGTTGCTAAGGGAATGTTATGCTTGATTCCGTGTGGGTTATGTAAACATGACCAATCTCCACGTATATGAAACAAAAGCAGTCTGTTCTCTCGATAAAGGATAAGCAAATGATTATTTGACGTTTGGAGGAAGGAGAAGAAGGAACAAATTTAGCACTCGAGTTTAAAATCACCGTGCAGGAGATTTCAGATATACATAAAAACAAAGAGAAGATCCCAAAATTCACACGCTGTGTTGAGATGAGCGAGGGATTGAAATGAAAGTCCCTGAAGGAAGGCGAGAACAATATTGACAGTATTAACCCTATCCAAACAATTCAGCTTTGACGAATGATGGACTTAGCTATCTAATCATGTTGTAATTCGTTAAAACAAACTAGCATGCCTCAACATTTTAGAGTGCTGTAACTGCACAACCACTTGAAAGAGTACCTTTTTTATTTGTAAATACGTAACATACAGACCATACATAAATGCAAATAGGAGCTAATTCGCAATTAAATGTTGTTTTCTTCATTCCCTAATTTTATCTCAGTCTCATTAAAATTCCTATTCTCTATTATCCCGACTGTCGATTATCCGGATTATTTACTCAAGTCCCAATGAGTCCAGATAAATCGTGGTTCAACTGTACTGCAAGATTCTGTTACTAGTTACTAGTTGGACCATTACATAACACAATCTTGCCAGGAAGGCAACTTTTTACAAATTCTGAGGTCATTG